GGCCGCCCGCAAAGGAGGCAGCGCTGCGCCGCAAACCTGGGCGCAGGGAGGGTAAATACCCTGCGCGCACCTTTAGTGCGCGGTTATATGAATCACCGGCATTTTACATGTGGGATGGGCTCGTACGAGTTGCTAAAAAGTCCGCGGCGCGCGCTGGGAGCGGAGCGGGCGGGCGGGAGTCTGAAGGGACATAAAGCCGGCAGTGTGAGCAGGAAATATCGCCGTGCTAAGTAACAGCTCCAGACGAGGTACCACAGACGAGCGCTTATTTAGCGTAATATCAATACATGTTGTTGTTGTTGTTGTTCCACTTTCAAAGGGACCTCTTGACCATCAGGGGCTTTCTCCGAGTTGAACGAGAGAAATAATTCGGAATGAGTCGAGGCATCGCATTAGCTTTAAGCATTTGCAAGGCAGAGGATTGGATTTCATATTTATAAGAGGAATTTACGTTTGTACATTGACTCATGGCATGACGTAGAGTGAAACTGATTTCCTCCCCCCTCCTCCCGCTTCTGCTTATTTTGGTCGAAATGGGGCAAATAGGCAAACAGAAAAAATACCGTTTTAACCTATGCTTTAATGAGCACTGACCTGAAGAGCAAGATTTTGTTGAGCAGATAACTGAGTTCTCTCTCTCTCCATCCCTCTCTCTCCCTCTCTCTCTCTCTCTCTCTTCCGTGATTAATTCAGAGACTGTAATCATGGACATTGTACATCAAACCTTTCTGCTCGTGCTACAGACTCGTGCAGATTTTTATTGGTTTACATGAAAGCGAGTAAACATATTTCAGAGGATGCCCTTTCAATCTGGCTCCATTTCCACAGCACATAATTCCAAGGACAATTTGTTTTAATAATAAGAATGGATGCAGTGTTAATGGTTTTCAATTTGTGTTTAAAAAAAAACCATTAAATATTTATAAGTATCGATCGAGGGTTTCAGGATTTTACAGACGTCTTAACACATTTCATAGATGGGATTTTTTTTTTAATTTAGAAACCTGCGTCGTATTCTCTTTTATGCTGTTTATTGATTTAAGCAACATCCGTGTCTCAAATGAGGGACTAATAGATTTTCATTAAAATAGGCTCTCTTAATCCTGATTGTGAATGGATATGATTGATCCATCCAGCACACTACACATCTATAATATTAATAAAGGACATTATCATGGCAGGACTTGCTTTTCCGTCATCAGTGCACTTTTTTTTTTCCCTATCTGCAACCTTAAAGATTTATTTGGGGGCTGTAAAAAGGCCCACAGGAGGGAAACGCATTGAGAAGAATACATTTTTATATTAGGTTTTTTTTTGGTAGCTTCAGTGGAAAGATTTTTTTTTCTTAATCTACAGTACACTCTGGCAACA